ACTAGTACTGTAGCACTAGTATTGCAGCACTAGTACTGTAGCACTAGTATTGTAGCACTAGTATTGTAGCACTAGTACTGTAGCACTAGTATTGTAGCACTAGTACTGTAGCACTAGTATTGTAGCACTAGTACTGCAGCACTAGTACTGTAGCACTAGTATTGTAGCACTCGTACTGTGGCACTAGTACTGTAGCACTAGTATTGTAGCACTAGTACTGTAGCACTAGTATTGTAGCACTAGTACTGTAGCACTAGTATTGTAGCACTAGTATTGTACTAGTATTGTAGCACTAGTACTGTAGCACTAGTACTGTAGCACTAGTATTGTAGCACTAGTATTGCAGCACTAGTATTGTAGCACTAGTACTGTAGCACTAGTACTGTAGCACTAGTACTGTAGCACTAGTACTGTAGCACTAGTATTGTAGCACTAGTACTGTAGCACTAGTACTGTAGCACTAGTATTGTAGCACTAGTACTGTAGCACTAGTACTGTAGCACTAGTACTGTAGCACTAGTATTGTAGCACTAGTACTGTAGCACTAGTATTGTAGCACTCGTACTGTAGCACTAGTACTGTAGCACTAGTACTGTAGCTCTAGTACTGTAGCACTAGTACTGTAGCACGAGTATTGTAGCACTAGTACTGTAGCACTAGTATTGTAGCACTAGTACTGTAGCACTAGTATTGTAGCACTAGTACTGTAGCACTAATATTGTAGCCCACGACTGTAGCACTAGTATTGTAGCACTAGTATTGTAGCACTAGTACTGTAGCACTAGTATTGTAGCACTAGTACTGTAGCAATAGTATTGTAGCACTAGTACTGTAGCACTAGTATTGTAGCACTAGTACTGTAGCACTAGCACTGTATCACTAGTACTGTAGCACTAGTACTGTAGCACTAGTACTGTAGCACTAGTATTGTAGCACTAGTACTGTAGCACTAGTACTGTAGCACTAGTACTGTAGCACTTGCACTGTATCACTAGTACTGTAGCACTAGTACTGTAGCACTAGTACTGTAGCACTAGTACTGTAGCACTAGTACTGTAGCTCTCGTACTGTAGCACTAGTACTGTAGCACTAGTACTGTAGCACTACTACTGTAGCACTAGTATTGTAGCACTAGTACTGTAGCACTAGTACTGTAGCACTAGTACTGTAGCACTAGTACTGTAGCACTAGTATTGTAGCACTAGTACTGTAGCACTAGTACTGTATCACTAGTATTGTAGCACTAGTACTGTAGCACTAGCACTGTAGCACTAGTACTGTAGCACTAGTACTGTAGCACTAGTACTGTAGCACTAGCACTGTAGCACTAGTACTGTAGCACTAGTACTGTAGCACTAGTACTGTAGCACTACTACTGTATCACTCGTACTGTAGCACTAGTACTGTAACACTAGTACTGTAGCACTAGTACTGTAGCACTAGTACTGTAGCACTAGCACTGTAGCACTAGTACTGTAGCACTTGTACTGTAGCACTAGTACTGTAGCACTAGTACTGTAGCACTAGTACTGTAGCACTAGTACTGTAGCACTAGTACTGTAGCACTAGCACTGTAGCACTAGTACTGTAGCACTAGTACTGTAGCACTAGTACTGTAGCACTAGTACTGTAGCACTAGTACTGTAGCACTAGTATTGTAGCACTAGTACTGTAGCACTAGTACTGCAGCACTAGTATTGTAGCACTAGTAATGTAGCACTAGTAATGTAGCACTAGTACTGTAGCACTAGTACTGCAGCACTAGTATTGTAGCACTAGTACTGTAGCACTAGTACTGTAGCACTAGTACTGTAGCACTAGTATTGTAGCACTAGTACTGTAGCACTAGTATTGTAGCACTAGTACTGTAGCACTAGTAATGTAGCACTAGTACTGTAGCACTAGTACTGTAGCACTACTACTGTATCACTCGTACTGTAGCACTAGTACTCTAGCACTAATGTAGCACTAGTACTGTAGCACTAGTACTGTAGCACTACTACTGTATCACTAGTACTGTAGCACTAGTACTGTAGCACTAGTACTGTATCACTCGTACTGTAGCACTAGTACTGTAGCACTAGTACTGTAGCACTAGTACTGTAGCACTAGTACTGTAGCACTAGTACTGTAGCACTAGTACTGCAGCACTACTACTGTATCACTCGTACTGTAGCACTAGTACTGTAGCACTAGCACTGTAGCACTAGTACTGTAGCACTAGTACTGTAGCACTCGTACTGTAGCACTAGTACTGTAGCACTAGTACTGTAGCACTAGAACTGTAGCACTAGTACTGTAGCACTCGTACTGTAGCACTAGTACTGTAGCACTAGTACTGTAACACTAGTACTGTAGCACTAGTACTGTAACACTCGTACTGTAGCACTAGTACTGTAGCACTAGAACTGTAGCACTAGTACTGTAGCACTAGTACTGTAACACTCGTACTGTAGCACTAGTACTGTAGCACTAGTACTGTAGCACTAGTACTGTAGCACTAGTACTGTAGCACTAGTACTGTAGCACTAGTACTGTAACACTCGTACTGTAGCACTAGTACTGTAGCACTAGTACTGTAGCACTAGAACTGTAGCACTAGTACTGTAGCACTAGTACTGTAGCACTAGTATTTTAGCACTAGTACTGTAACACTCGTACTGTAGCACTAGTACTGTAACACTAGTACTGTAGCACTAGTACTGTAGCACTAGTACTGTAACACTCGTACTGTAGCACTAGTACTGTAACACTCGTACTGTAGCACTAGTAACTGTAGCACTAGTACTGTAACACTCGTACTGTAGCACTAGTACTGTAACACTAGTACTGTAGCACTAGTACAGTAGCACTAGTACTGTAACACTCGTACTGTAGCACTAGTACTGTAACACTCGTACTGTAGCACTAGTACTGTAGCACTAGTACTGTAACACTCGTACTGTAGCACTAGTACTGTATCACTAGTACTGTAGCACTAGTATTGTAGCACTAGTACTGTAGCACTAGTATTGTAGCACTAGTACTGTAGCACTAGTAATGTAGCACTAGTACTGTAGCACTACTACTGCATCACTCGTACTGTAGCACTAGTACTCTAGCACTAGTAATGTAGCACTAGTACTGTAGCACTAGTACTGTAGCACTACTACTGTATCACTAGTACTGTAGCACTAGTACTGTAGCACTAGTACTGTATCACTCGTACTGTAGCACTAGTACTGTAGCACTAGTACTGTAGCACTAGTACTGTAGCACTAGTACTGTAGCACTAGTACTGCAGCACTACTACTGTATCACTCGTACTGTAGCACTAGTACTGTAGCACTAGCACTGTAAGCACTAGTACTGTAGCACTAGTACTGTACACTCGTACTGTAGCACTAGTACTGTAGCACTAGTACTGTAAGCACTAGAACTGTAGCACTAGTACTGTAGCACTCGTACTGTAGCACTAGTACTGTAGCACTAGTACTGTAACACTAGTACTGTACACTAGTACTGTAACACTCGTACTGTAGCACTAGTACTGTAGCACTAGAACTGTAGCACTAGTACTGTAGCACTAGTACTGTAACACTCGTACTGTAGCACTAGTACTGTAGCACTAGTACTGTAGCACTAGTACTGTAGCACTAGTACTGTAACACTCGTACTGTAGCACTAGTACTGTAGCACTAGTACTGTAGCACTAGAACTGTAGCACTAGTACTGTAGCACTAGTACTGTAGCACTAGTATTTTAGCACTAGTACTGTAACACTCGTACTGTAGCACTAGTACTGTAACACTAGTACTGTAGCACTAGTACTGTAGCACTAGTACTGTAACACTCGTACTGTAGCACTAGTACTGTAACACTCGTACTGTAGCACTAGTACTGTAGCACTAGTACTGTAGCACTCGTACTGTAGCACTAGTACTGTAACACTAGTACTGTAGCACTAGTACTGTAGCACTAGTACTGTAACACTCGTACTGTAGCACTAGTACTGTAACACTAGTATTGTAGCACTAGTACTGTAACACTAGTACTGTAGCACTAGTACTGTAGCACTAGTACTGTAGCACTAGTACTGTAACACTCGTACTGTAGCACTAGTATTGTAGCACTAGTACTGTAGCACTAGTACTGTAACACTCGTACTGTAGCACTAGTACTGTAGCACTAGTACTGTAGCACTAGTACTGTAGCACTCGTACTGTAACACTCGTACTGTAGCACTAGTACTGTAGCACTAGTACTGTAACACTCGTACTGTAGCACTAGTACTGTAGCACTAGTACTGTAGCACTAGTACTGTAGCGACTAGTAACTGTAGCACTAGTACTGTAGCACTAGTACTGTAGCACTAGTACTGTAACACTCGTATTGTAGCACTAGTACTGTAGCACTAGTACTGTAACACTCGTACTGTAGCACTAGTACTGTAGCACTAGTACTGTAACACTCGTATTGTAGCACTAGTACTGTAGCACTAGTACTGTAACACTCGTACTGTAGCACTAGTACTGTAGCACTAGTACTGTAGCACTAGTACTGTAGCACTAGTACTGTAGCACTAGAACATGAGATGTACACAGGTAGGACAGCTACTATACACATGTATACAGAGGGCGGCTAGTAAACACAGGCTGGTATACAAATGGAGGCTAAAATACATAGGTTTGAATTAAGTAATAATCGCGATCGAGCGACACAAGATGCAAAATAACCACAGGGGGAGTTGAATGATAGGTCTAGGCCTCTCGGGTTGCAATCAACACATCAGGAGCTTGCAATGTTGCATAAACAGAGCAGGAAATCTAGGAAGATCCCTTCATGTGAATGGCTCTCCAGGAGAGAGCCAGTCTCATGATGGGATCTTCTTCGATTTCCTGCTGTTTCTGCAACATTGCAAGCTCCTGATGTGTTGATTGCAACCCGAGATGCCAAGACCTATCATTCAACTCCCTCTATGGTTATTTTTAATAAGTATATATGCAAGGGACAATACTCACCACTATCATCTCTGAAGGCTCGAGGATAAGACACTCATTTGCTCTCCTGCCTCCGCCTCCTGACCGCTTGCCGAAGCTGTGGAGAGACAAAGACAACATTAGGAGACTACACTTCAACACCCACCTTGCCTCAACACCTGCCTTGCCTCAACACCTGCCTTGCCTCAACACCTGCCTTGCCTCAACACCTGCCTTGCCTCAACACCTGCCTTGCCTCAACACCTACCTTGCTACATAATGACCAATGCAACACTTTAGACACAAGACAGCCCTTCAAGTGAAGTACTGTGATGCTGATCCCATCAAATGAAGCTACCCTCTCTCTCCTCGGATGTAACCTGGTTACCTCTTATTCAATCAGGTACTATAAATTCCTTCCACAAAAACTAGTGCATACACTTACGTCCTAGGACCTTGGTCACTCCAAGTGAATATACCTTTGCCATATCTCTGACGAGTTTCGAGAGTTTTTCTATTCTCAGAGCCCGACCTTGGGCCAGGCTCGCCTGGTGCTTGCCTGGTCAACCAGACTGTTGCTGCTGGAGGCCCGCTGCCCCACATATCCATCACAGCCTGTTTGATCTGGCACCTAGTGAAGCTACTTGTCTAGTTTCCTCTTGAAGGCTTCTACACTTGTTCCAGCCGTGTTTCTGATATCTTCTGGTAAGATGTTGAATAATCTGGGACCCCGGATGTATCATAACTACACTTGGAAAATCTTACAAGGAATGGTCCGAATCTGCACACAGAAATCACTCCCTACGAAAGTAAAAGACTGGGCAGGCGATGCAAAATACCCCCAATTAAAAGTAGGGGCGCCACTGGTACACTAAGAGAAAACACCATAAGTGTCCGGGGCCCAAGACTGTTCAACAGCCTCCCACCATTCATAAGGGGAATTACCAATAGGCCCCTGGCTACCTTTAAGAGAGAGCTGGACAGATACTTAGTCAGTGCCGGACCAGCCGGGCTGTGGTTCGTACGTCGGACTACGTGCGGCCAGTAGTAACAGCCTGGTTGATCAGGCCCTGATCCACCGGGAGGCCTGGTCGTGGACTGGGCCACGGGGGCGTTGATCCCTGGAATACCCTCCAGGTAGACTCTAGGTAGACGGATGTTGATACAGCGTTCCTTTGTGCCCACGGCTCCCATACTTTTCACTAGGTTTATTTTGCATTTCCATATCCTCACCTCAGTTTGCTGTTATGACAATATGCAGATTTGGGACCAGGCCCTCAAGTACTGTCCATGTATATATTATCATGTATCTTTCTCTCCTCCGCTCCAGTGAGTACATATTTAGGAGTTTACGGTATTTCCAGTAATTTAAATGCTTTATTGGCTTTACTCCCTTGCTCTGAAAGTTCTCATTATCCACCACATCTTCCTGGCGGTCATGACCCTGGTCTTAATTATATTCTTTGAAAGAAAGGTCAACTGACATAATTACTCCCAGGTCTTTCAAGTGTTCCATTCGTTCTGTTTGTCAATCTTCTTGAGTTTTGTATATAGTGTTCCTATTGAGTTCTTCATTCTTTCCATACCTAAGTAGCTGGAACTTATCACCACTGAACGTCATGTTGTTTTCCACTGACCACTGGAAAACACTGCTTATGTCTTCCTGTAATTTTTCAGTGTCCTCTACCGTAGTGACTTTCATGCTTATTTTAGTGTCATCTGTAATGATGATACAGAAGTGGGATGGGTGTTTTTATCTGTCTGCTATGAGGATGAGAAACAGCAGAGGTGCCAGGACAATGCCTTGGGGCACTGAGCTTTTTACCTCGTTGATGCTGGATCTTGCTCTGTTTACTGCTACTTTATGTGTTATGTGTGTGTTAGAAACCTGAAAATGCACCTGCCTACCTTCCCCGCAATGCCTTTGGTCCCCATATTGTGTGTAGTCACCCCATAATAGCTTTTGCCAATCGCTTAGCAAAGTTTGTGTACATCACCTCTCCAATTTGGTTCAGGAACTGAACCGTGCAAAGGACAAGTTGAGAGGCGTGGCCAGGAGCCAAGACCTAAGCCTTGCAATCATACGTAGGTGAGCACTCTCTCACACACATACAGGAGCTAAGTCTCGACTCCAGCAAACACAACTTGGAGAGTGCATACAGAAATCTGTTTATTTATCCCGTGCTTCTTTTCATTATCCTCCAATACTTTCACCTCACTTTGAGTCCTCCTTTCACTATCTGAAATATAGAATCTTTTGGATAATTTCTTAATGTGACTACGTTATAATCTACGAATGAAACGGTAAAGTCTTTTAATGTGGTAAGATCCTGCAGTGCGCTCCTTGATCTTCTTACTGAAGCACTGCCTTGTAAACACTGGCTGCCTGCAGCGGCGCCTCACACACACACACACACACACACACACACACACACATACACACACACACACACACACACACACACACACGAGAGTTGAAGCACTTGACTGCGGGTTGTGGCAGCTGTGAAGTGGAAATAAGGCAGGAGTGGAAGGTGGCATAGAAGGGCGAGAGAGGAAGGTTGAGTGAGGAAGAAGAGGAGGAGGAGAAGGAAAGAGAAGACGAGAAGGCTAGAATCTAGAGTTGGAAGGGAAAACTTCATTCCACTATGATCACACTTGTCGAAGGCATCACTGGTAAATGTAAAATACCTAGACTGAAGGACACGGGAATAACTAACAGATGATTCGATACGAGCGATGGACACACCACTTTCCAACGCCCATCCTTCATGTGTAAGATAAACTACCAACACATTCCAGGCAGTGTTTAGCCAGGCTGTGGTTAAACACTGCCTGGGCGCAGTATTTAACCAGCAGGCTGTTCCAACAGTCTCCTCGATGAGTAAGACACATGTACACTCTCCCAGTTCATCAACAGTAGCACCTTTACTGTCGAAAAGTTTCGCTTACGCGGTAGGCTCCTTCAGTCAAGTACAGATAATCGATTGTAGGTAGCAGAAGTAACGAGATAAAGATGATATAATCGGTCCATTAACCTTGGAGAAACAGTGTGAGGTGGTCAGTCCCTCAGCCTTGAGAAGAGTTCAGCTCTATATTCTGTAAGAATGTGCAGCTGAAGCCTGAGAATGGATTCGTACTGTCGAAGGTGAGGTGGTGGATCTCGAAGACGGGATTCACTAGAAGGTAGAAGTTAAGGAAGGGAGGAGCACTGCAGCAAGCCTACTAGTCCATGCCAGGCAGGTTCCTCCTCCTCACTCATAACTAGTAAATAAGTGAGGAAGAATGGAAGATCTTCTCTGTACAAGATACAGTTGTGTTGCTGTCTCAGTTGTGTTGCTGTTTCAGTTGTGTTGCTGTCTCAGTTGTGTTGCTGTCTCAGTTGTGTTGCTGTCTCAGTTGTGTTGCTGTCTCAGTTATGTTGCTGTCTCAGTTGTGTTGCTGTCTCAGTTGTGTTGCTATCTCAGTCGTGTTGCTGTCTCAGTTGTGTTGCTGTCTCAGTCGTGTTGCTGTCTCAGTTGTGTTGCTGTCTCAGTTGTGTTGCTGTCTCAGTTGTGTTGCTATCTCAGTCGTGTTGCTGTCTCAGTTGTGTTGCTGTCTCAGTTGTGTTGCTGTCTCAGTTGTGTTGCTGTCTCAGTTGTGTTGCTGTCTCAGTTGTGTTGCTGTCTCAGTTGTGTTGCTATCTCAGTCGTGTTGCTGTCTCAGTTGTGTTGCTGTCTCAGTTGTGTTGCTGTCTCAGTTGTGTTGCTGTCTCAGTCGTGTTGCTGTCTCAGTCGTGTTGCTGTCTCAGTCGTGTTGCTGTCTCAGTTGTGTTGCTGTCTCAGTTGTGTTGCTATCTCAGTTGTGTTGCTGTCTCAGTTGTGTTGCTGTCTCAGTTGTGTTGCTGTCTCAGTCGTGTTGCTGTCTCAGTTGTGTTGCTGTCTCAGTTGTGTTGCTGTCTCAGTTGTGTTGCTATCTCAGTTGTGTTGCTGTCTCAGTTGTGTTGCTATCTCAGTTGTGTTGATAATGTTGCTAAATATCAATGATGTGAATCATCAGATTGTGTTATATGTGTGAACCAATGTCTGTGGTCCATCGCTGTTCATGGTCCAAGTGTGAACCAACGTTTATGATCCATCGCTGTTAATGGTCCATGTGTGAACCAATGTCTGCGGTCCATGTGTGAGCCAATGTCTGTGGTTCATGTGTGAACCAACGTCTGTGGTCCATGTGTGAACCAATGTGTGGTCCATGTGTGAACCAATGTCTGTGGTCCATGTGTGAACCAATGTGTGGTCCATGTGTGAACCAACGTCTGTGGTCCATGTGTGAACCAATGTGTGGTCCATGTGTGAACCAATGTCTGTGGTTCATGTGTGAACTAACGTCTGTGGTTCATGTGTGAACCAACATCTGTGGTCCATGTGTGAACCAGTGTGTGGTCCATGTGTGAACCAGTGTGTGGTCCACGTGTGAACCAATGTCTGTGGTCAATGTGTGAAGCAAAGTCTGTGATACATTGTTGTTCTTGGCCCATGTGCACACACACACACACATACACACACACACACACACACACACACACACACACACACACACACACACACACACACACACACACACACACACACACACACAAATACACACACAAGAAGGCCTTTGACACAGTTCCTCACAAGAGATTAGTGCAGAAGCTGGAGGATCAGGCGCATATAACAGGGAGGGCACTGCAATGGATCAGAGAATACCTGACAGGGAGGCAACAACGAGTCATGGTACGTAATGATGTATCACAATGGGCACCTGTGACGAGCGGGGTCCCACAGGGGTCGGTCCTAGGACCAGTGCTATTTTTGGTATATGTGAACGACATGATGTAAGGGTTAGACTCAGAAGTGTCCCTGTTCGCAGACGATGTGAAGTTAATGAGGAGAATTAAATCAGATGAGGACCGGGCAGGACTTCAAAGAGACTTGGACAGACTGGACACCTGGTCCAGCAACTGGCTTCTCGAATTTAACCCCGCCCAATGCAAAGTCATGAAGATCGGGGAAGGGCACAGAAGACCGCGGACGGTGTATAGGCTAGGTGGCCAAAGACAGCAAACCTCGCTCAAGGAGAAAGAACTTGGGGTGAGTA